CTTTCGCCCCAATAAGCTCCCAGGAGGCCCCCAGAGCCCCCCAAGAAGCCCCAAGAGGCCCCGAAGACTCCAAAAGGGTTCCGAAAGGGCCCCTATAGGACTCCCAAGAAGGCCCAGAGACGCCAAATAAAGAGCGATCGGTAAAGCAAAAAGCTCTTCACACCAAGGCTCCCAAGAGCGAACGGTGACGTAAACAAGCGGCTAAGACCAAGGCTCCCGGCAGAGAGCGGTGACGTAACAAGTTCCTGACACCAAGGCCCAGCCAAGGCTCAGGAACGGGCGGCAACGCAACAATCTCTGAACACCAAGGCTCCCAAGAGCGAATGGTGACGTAACAAGCTCTCAACGCCAAGGCTCCCGGTACGATTGGTGGTGTGAGTAATTTCGGTTTCTGTTGCTGCAGCGCTCTTTCCGTTTCTGTGCCGGGCCCAGGTAACGGAAAGAGCGAGGTACGAGCGATGACGTTGTGTGTTGGGCGAAGCCCCTGAATGGGGGGGTTCAGGGGGGGTGGGTAGCGCGGACGAATGAGTGTTTTTCCTCCGGGTTTTCGCATATTTGTCTGATTCTCCTTCAAGACGGCCCAAGAGCGCTCCCATAGAGCCCAAGACCGCCCAAGACGGCTCAAGAGGCCCCCAAGAGGCCCCCAAGAGGCGCCCAAGGAGCGTCCCAAGAGGGCCCCAAGAGGCCAAAATCATCGATTTTCCGGAGGAAAACGTATATGTTTAGCATATACGGCTTTTCGCCTTTCACGGCGTTGACGACGGCCCAAGAGGCCCCCAAGACCGCCCCAAGACGGCCCAAGATGCTCCCAAGAGGCCCCCAAAACGGCCCAAGAGGGCTCCCAGACGGTCCACGAGGCGCCCAAGACGGCCCAAGAGGGCCCCAAGACGGCCCCAAGAGGGGGACCACGAACCGAAAATTCTAGCCTATCGCCCCAAGACGCTCCCGGGAGGCCCCCACAGCCCCCCAAGACGCCCCAAGAGGCCCCCAAGAGGCGTCGCAAGAGGCCACCAGGAGGCCAAGATTATTGATTTCCCAAAGGAAAACATACATTTTTAGCATGTGCGGCCTTTCGGCTTCCACGGCGTTGAAGACGGTCCAAGAGGCCCCCAAGACCGCCCCAAGACGGCCCAAGAGACTCCCAAGAGGCCCCCAAAACGGCCCAAGAGGGCCCCAAAACGGCCCAAGAGGCGCCCAAGACGGCCCAGGAGGGCCCCAAGACGGCCCCAAGAGGGCCCCAAGACGGCCCCAAGATGGGGACCACGAACCCGAAAGTCTAGCTTTTCGCCCCAAGACGCTCCCAGGAGGCCCCCACAGACCCCCAAGAAGCCCCAAGAGGTCCCCAAGAAGCCCCCAAGAGGCCTCCAACAGGGCTCTACAAGGGCCCCAATAGGACTCCCACGAAGGCCCAGAGACGCCAAATAGAGAGCGATCGGTAACGCAAAAAGCTCTTCACACCAAGGCTCCCAAGAGCGAACGGTGACGTAAACACGCTGATAAGACCAAGGCTCCCAGCAGAGAGCGGTGACGTAACAAGTTCCTGACACCAAGGCCCAGTCAAGGCTCAGGAACGGGCGACAACGCAACAATCTCTGGACACCAAGGCTCCCAAGAGCGAGGGGTGACGTAACAAGCTCTCAACGCCGAGGCTCCCGGTACGAACGCTGGTGTGCGTCATTTCGTTGCTGCAGCACTCTTTCCGTTTCTGTGCCGGGCCCAGTCTGATGGCCGTTTTTGGCAGTTGTCCCCTCGGTTTTTGCATGTTTTTCTGGTTTTCCCCCCAAGACGGCCCAAGAGCGCTCCCAGAGAGCCCAAGACCGCCCAAGACGGCCCTAGAGGCCCCCGAGAGGCGCCCAAAGGGCGTCCCAAGAGGGCCCCAAGAGGCCAAAATCATCGATTTCCCGGAGGAAAACGTATATGTTTAGCAAATACGGCTTTTCGGCTTTCACGGTGTTGACGACGGCCCAAGAGGCCCCCAAGACCGCCCCAAGACGGCCCAAGAGGCTCCCAAGAGGCCCCCACCAAGAGGGCCCCAAGACGGCCCAAGAGGCGCCCAAGACGGCCCAAGAAGGCCCCAAGACGGCCCCAAGAGGGGGACCACGAACCGAAAAGTCTAGCCTATCGCCCCAAGACGCTCCCAGGAGGCCCCAAGAGTTCCCCAAGAAGCCCCAAGAGGCCCCCAAGAGGCGTCCCAAGAGGCCACCAGGAGGCCAAGATCATTGATTTCCGATGGGGAAATGTACATTTTCAGCATACACGGCTTTTCGGCTTTCACGGCGTTACAGAGGGTCCGGTCCAAGAAGCCCCAAAGACCGCCCCAAGATTGCCCAAGAGGCCCCCAAGAGGCTCCCCAAACGGCCCAAGAGGGGCCCCCAGACGGCCCAAGAGGCGCCCAAGACGGCCCAAGAGGGCCCCCAGACGGCCCCAAGAGGGGGACCACGAACCGAAAAGTTTAGCCTTTCGCCCCAAGAAGCTCCCAAGAGGCCCCCAGAGCCCCCCAAGAAGCCCCAAGAAGCCCCCAAGAGGTTCCCAAGAGGCCTCCCAAAGGGCCCGAAAAGGGCTCCAATAGGACTCCCAAGAAGGCCCAGAGACGCCAAAGAAAGAGCGATCGGTAACGCAAAAAGCTCTTCACGTTAAGGCTCCCAAGAGCGAACGGTGACGTGTTCAAGCTGAGAAGACCAAGGCTCCCAGCAGAGAGCGGTGACGTGACAAGTTCCTGAAACCAAGGCCCAGCCAAGGCTCAGGAACGGGCGGCAACGCAACAATCTCTGGACACCAAGGCTCCCAAGACCGAGGGGTGACGTAACAAGCTCTCAACGCCAAGGCTCCTGGTACGAACGGTGGTGTGAGTAATTTCGGTTTCTGTTTCTGACGCGCTCTTTCCGTTTCTGTGCCGGGCCAGGTCTAATAACGGAAAGAGCGATGTACGAGTGATGACGTTCTGGTGTGGGCGAAGCCCTAAAGGGAGGGGTTCCAGGGGAGGGGGGTAGCGTGCGCATTTGCGTGTTAATGGCCGTTTTCGGGTTTTCCTTTGGGTTTTTGCATGTTTTTCTGTCTTTCCCACCCAAGACGGCCCAAGAGCGCTCCAAGAGAGCCCAAGACCGCCCAAGACGGCCCAAGACGGCCCCCAAGAGGCCCCCAAGAGGCGCCCAAGGGGCGTCCCAAGACGCCCCAAGAGGCCGAAATCATAGATTTACTATAGGAAAACGTACATTTTTAGCATATACGGCTTTTCGGCTTTCACGGCGTTGAAGACGGCCCACGAGGCCCCCAAGACCGCCCCAAGACGGCCCAAGAGGCTCCCAAGAGGCCCTCAAAACGGCCCAAGAGGGCCCCAAGACGGCCCAAGAGGCGCTCAAGACGGCCCAAGAGGGCGCCAAGACGGCCCCAAGAGGGGGACCACGAACCGAAAAGTCTAGCCTTTCGCCCCAAGACGCTCCCAGGAGGCCCCCAGAGCCCCCCAAGAAGCCCCAAGAGGCCCCCAAGAGGCGTCCCAAGAGGCCACCGGGAGGCGAAAATCATTGATTCGCGATGGGAAAATGTACATTTTTAGCATACAAGGCTGTTCGGCTTTCACTGCGTTGAAGACGCTCCAAGAGGCCCCCAAGACCGCCCCAAGACGGCCCAAAAGGCTCCCAAGAGGCCCCCAAAACGGCCCAAGAGGGCGCCAAGACGGCCCAAGAGGCGCCCAAGACGGCCCAAGAGGGCCCCAAGACGGCCCCAAGAGGGGGACCACGAACCGAAAAGTCTAGCCTTTCGCTCCAAGAAGCTCCCAGGAGGCCCCCAGAGCCCCCCAAGAAGCCCCAAGAGGCCCCCAAGAGGTTCCCAAGAGGCCTCCAAAAGGGCCCGACAAGGGCCCCAATAGGACTCCCAAGAAGGCCCAGAGACGCCAAATAGAGAGCGATCGGTAACGCAAAAAGCTCTTCACACCAAGGCTCCCAAGAGCGAACGGTGACGTAAACAAGCTGATAAGACCAAGGCTCCCAGCAGAGAGCGGTGACGTAACAAGTTCCTGACACCAAGGCCCAGCCAAGGCGCAGGAACGGGCGGCAACGCAACAATCTCTGAACACCAAGGCTCCCAAGAGAGAGGGGTGACGTAACAAGCTCTCAACGCCAAGGCTCCCAGTACGAACGGTGGTGTGAGTAATTTCGGTTTCTGTTTCTGAAGCGCTCTTTCCGTTTCCGTGCCGGCCCAGGCGGCCTTCGGCCCATCCCGCCATTATGCTTAGAATGCGGGTCAGAGTTCTCAAAGATGCTCCTTCGGATCTCTTCGGAGCGCTCTCGGGGGCCTCTTGGGAGCAGTTTGGAGGCCTCTTGGGAGCCTCTTAAGGGCCTCTTGGGGTCTCCTGGGGGCCCCTCGGGTCCGAGGGCTCGAAATGTCCGTTCGGATTCTCCATTTGGGCCCCTTCTTGGGGCCGTCTTTGGGCCCTCTTGAGTTGTCTTGGGCACCTCTTGGGACGTCTTAGGCCCTCGCGTGTCGTCTTGGGGCCTCTTAGGGGCCTCTGGGACCGTCTTGGGGCGATCTTTGGGGCCTCGTGGGCCGTCTTGGAGCGTCAGGAAGCCGAAAAGGCAAAGACGCCAAAATCTTTCAAAGACCGAATGGAAAACAATATTTTGGCCTCTTGGGGCTCTCTTGGGAGGCCACTTGGAGGCCTCTTGGGGCGTCTCGGAGGCCTCTTGGGCCGTCTGAGGGCCATCTTAGACGTCTCGGAGCGATCGTTTGGCGACTTGGGCCCTCACGGATTGTCTTGGGGACCTCTTGGAGCCTTCTTGGCCCGTCTTGGGGCCCTCTTGGCTCCGACAGAGTCAAGCGGGGAGCCGCGCCAAGCCCCCGACAAGCCGCGGCAAGCCCCGAGAGATTTGGTAAGTTGGGGCCCGGGCCCCTCCAAGACTCCTCAGGAGGCTTCTGAGGATCGGGCAAAGGACCCGAGGACACGCCCACTCCGTGCCCAGCGGCAGGGTGGCGGGCGCTTCTGCCAGCCTCTGGTGCTGCCCCAGGAGCGACGCCCAGTGGCACTCGAACGACAGGGACCACTGGTGGGGCAAGCGGAAGAGGGAGGAGTGAGAGCCCACCCCGCCGTGGCACGCGGGGCCTTGCCCGCCGCACGCCTCCCCCCGGCGCACTGCCTCCGCGCACGTCTCGGGGCTCACGAGGCGGGGGTCCGTGCAAACGGGGGTCAGCCAGGGCGCCGGAGCTTGCAGGATCCTGCAGGGCCAGGGCCGCACTGACCCAGGCCTGGGTGCAGGATCCTGCAGAATCTTGCAGGATCCTTCGCATTGACCCGGTTTGGGGTGCAGGACCTTGCAGAACTCTGCAAGGCCTGACTGACCCGGGTCTGGACGTCTGGACTGACCCGGGTCAGAAGATCTCCGAACGGTCGTCTTGGCCGCACCTTGCTGACACCATTGTCGGCAACAGCACGCCTGCAGCGCAAGCGTCCGTCGATATGTTCCACGGGCTTCCATTGCGTCTGCCGACCTCGCCGTTCGCATAACTTACGGAGTGCGTCGTCGAGTGATGCTTTTGCCCTTCACACTCTCCTTCTCCGCCTCCTCCTCCTCCGCCTCCTCCTTCTCATCATCATCATCATCATCATCATCATCATCATCATCATCATCATCATCATCATCATCCTCATCCTCATCCTCATCCTCATCCTCATCCTCATCCTCATCCTCCCCTCCTCCTCACTCTCCTGCTTCTCCTCCTCCTCCTCGTCATCCTCCTCTTCCTTTTCGTGAGGCATCTTCGGAGCCACTGGGGACAACTTCGTGGCGCCTTGGGCCGTCTTGGGGCCCGTATGGGCCGAATTGGTCAATTTTCGTTTTCCTGTAGTTCGAGGATGTGCTGACGCATCGCAGAAGCAAAACGGATGCTGCTTCCGAGTGCCGGTGTGGCCCGTTCATGGTTGACTTCGCCTTTGGATTTTGACACCGCTCATAGTGGCCCTTGGCTCAGAAAGGCCACTTGGCACTGGCCAGGGGCTCTGAGGCAGGAGGAGGAGGACGAGGAGGGATGATAACGGCATGATGAGGGAGGACAGAAGAATTGGATGAGGAGGATGAGAGGGATGCGGGAGCAGGAGGATCAGTTTCGCCAGGTCGTAGCTTCTTCAGTGTTACTTTGTCTTCGGTTGGTCTAGCGGCTTTGCACGTTTTGTTTTTGTCTCCATTGTCTACCATCGGTCCGACGATTCAGTGGCACCGATTAACACCAGACCGCTGCTGATGCTTCAATTTCTTCGAGCCGAGCTTTCTGTCCCTCGTTGTGTTGGCCGCTGCACTTTGGCCTTACAGCGCCTCATGTTTTTTGTGTTCACCACGCTTTGCACGACCTTGATTTGATGTTTTCATCATGGCGCGTTCGATTCAGTTCGCTCGCAATTGGCACATCCACCTGCCGACCGCGCCTGAGGCCCCTCTGCGCCGCCGACTTAAAGGTGTGTGTCTGTGTGTCTGAGTGTGTCTGGGTGTCTGGGTGTCACTGTGTCTGTGCGCCGGTATGTCTTTGTGTCTGTGTGTTTTTGTGTCTGTTTGTCTGTGTGCGTTTATGCGCTTTTGTGTGTCTCTCAAGATCGCTCTCTCTCTCTCTCGCGCGCGCGTTTGTCTCTCTCAATTTTACGCATTTTCTCTTGTTTTTGTCTCTCTCTCTCTCTCTCTCGCTCTCCCTATTGTTTTCTGTCTCCCCCTTTCTCTTTATGTTTTTTGTTCTCTCTCTCTCTCTCTCTCTCTCTCTCTGTCTCTATGTATATGTTGCTCCCTCTTTATCTTTTTCCCCCCCCCCCCACACACACACTCTTTCGCGCATCACATATATGCGCGCGGCTTACACGAATGTCTCTCTCTCTCTGTTGTTTCTCTTTCTTTCTCTCTCTCTCTCTCTCTCTTCGTCTGTCTCTTTCGCAGCCGTATTGCCCGCTCACGTTGTCTATGGCTGCTAGGCCGAAAGATGAAGCTACGGCGCGGCGGGCCGAATCATCTCACCCGCACCAGCCATGAGATCGAAAAGTGCCCAGAGGAGAACACAGACTCGCGAGGCAGAGACACGGCAGAGAAGGGTCATTCGACAGAGAGGTCGAGTATACGGCGATTCAAAGACAGGGCTTCGATAATACAAAAGTGGAAGCGCCACGGTGACGATTGACACGTTTTGTGTGAGGTACACCGCAAGCGGCGGAAACCAGAGAGGGCGGTATTAGTAATACGCGTATCTATACGAGTATACGTGTGTATATGTATACATACAAACATATATATATATATATACATACTGCAGGGGGCGCGGCCCAGGGCCACGGAACAGCTGACAACACCCTCCATGGGCGGGCATTTCATCAGTATACATACACGAAGAGAACGAATATAAACATGTACGCAGAAAAAGATAGAACAGAGAGAGAGAGAGAACAAGAGAGAGACAGCCAGCCAGCCAGCAAGACAGACAGACAGACAGACAGACAGAGACTGAGTAGAGAGCAGAGAGAGTCAAGCAAGATGCTGCTGTGCATTATGTGGGTGGAGAGCGCTCCAAGTAGGGAATGAGAATAGAGAGCAGTTCCCCAATCAGCGCTTGCAATGAAGGTGTCCTCTCGGCGACGGAAAGAGTGGACGAAAGTTTTGGGGCCGATTTCGGCGTGCGGGCGGGTTCCAGGTTTCCTGTTTTGGGTTCTGGGCCGATTCGGTGGGCGGCCTGTTTCCTTGGCTCCCGGTTCCGTACCAGGGGTTCTTGGCACGGTGAGGTTGCAGGGTTCCCGTGTTGTTCCAGGCCTTTGTGATCAGGATCAGAATGAGAGAGTATGTCGTGGAGTAAGAGGAAACTTCTTATGAAGTGAAGAACATAGTTAAGCAGAAAGGAAAGACATTGTATTAGGGAGAATAGAGGGCAAAGCGTGTTTGGATGGTAAATAGAATGAACAAAGTACATACATACATAGTGAGAGAAGGAGAGAGAGAGAGGGAGAGCAAAGGAGTAAAAAAAGAGAGAGATAGAGAGAGTTGTTTTTTTCCGACCACGGCTATACATAAATAGATGGAGGTAGAGAGAGTAAGAAATTGAGACATACATACGGTGATCTGGCTGAATGAGAGGGTCGGGTAGCACAGGCGGGGGAGTACAGATCAGAGAGTGTAGGGCAGAGCTGGATGTGCATATGTGAATACCTATACGACCACCCTTCGGGTGATAAGGAGGGTGTGGGGGGGAGAGGGGGGAACCAACATCTGACTCAATCGATATCACTATCGACCTCACTCAACGGGACACCACGGGACACTTGTCGATCTCACTATAGATCTCACTATCAGCCTCACTCAACTGGACACCACGGGACACCACGGGACACCGCGGGAGGCCTCTCGATCTCACTATCGGTCTCACTATCGATCTCATTATCGATCTCATTCGAAAGGACACCACGGGACACCTGTCGATCTCACTATCGATCTCATTTTTGGGGACACCTCGGGGCTCCGCATCGATCTCACGATCGATCTCATTCAACGGGACACCACGAGACACCTGTCGATCTCACTATCGATCTCATTATCGATCTCACGATCGATCTCATTCAACGGGACACCACGGGACACCGCGGGACACCGTGGGACACCGCGAGCCACTGCCGCACGGACGGACGGAGAGGCGGTCGGGGGAGAATCATTTGTCTTGATTTCGCCCTTGCAACGGCGGACACCGTGGGACACCGCGAGCCACCGCCGGACGGGCGTGTGGGGGAGAATCAGTTGTCTTGACTTCGCCCTAGCAACGACGGACACCACGGGACACCGCGGGACACCGCGAGCCACCGCCGGACAGGCGGGCGGGGGAGAATCATTTGTCTTGACTTCGCCCTAGCAACGGCGGGTTCATTCCTCTCGCGCGCCCACGCAGCTTCGCCTCGCCCGCACGCACGACACGAGCGAAACGAAACGACCTCCCCGTTGGGGGTCTCCGTTCCACTGCGATCTCACCCCCCAACCTCACCAGATGGAGGGAGAGAGAAACAAACATATACACATACACCTATATATACATATACATATGTATATATATAGACATACAGATGTGCACATACGTACAAACATGTACATAAAAATATACATGTACACATATATACAAAGACATGTACAGCTAGAGGAAGAGTAGAAGACATAGGGCGAAGATAGAGATGGTGGACAGAGAGAGAATCCTTGTACATAAGGAATTAGGGATAGAGGGATACAGAGAGACGGAAATACGTACGTATCACATACTGCGTAATACAGCGCAGAGCGAGGTTCAAGGGCATACAGGAAATAGTACGTGAGAGAGAGAGGAGACAAAGGGAAGCGAGGGGCCAAGGCGGAGTCAGTGTAAGAAAGCGGGGAGACAGAGAGGAAGAGAGAGAGAGAGAGAAAGAGGACTACATAGGGAAAGGCGATGTGTGCATAAATATATCTATATATAGGAGAGAGAGATAGATAGAGAGCCGGCCGGCGTGGAGAGTCTTGCCCTTTTTTGTTTAGTTTGTTCCCCAACCCTGCATTGAACGGGCTCTCGTTTTGAATAGAGCACTGCTTGCGGGACCCTTCCTCCCGCCTGCCTTCTCCTGCATATCCTCCTTCTCCTCCTCCTCCTCATGCCTCGTCCTGGCTTCTCCTCCTCCTCCTCCTCCCTCCTCCTCCTCCTCATCATCATCATCCTCATCCTCATCCTCCTCCTCCTGCTCCTCCTCCTCCTCCCCTCCTCCTCCTCTGCCTCCTGCTACTCCTCCTCCTCCTCATCCTGCTCCTCCTCCTCCTCCTCCTACTCCTCCTCCTCCTCCTCGTCCTCCTCCTCCTCTCCTCCTCCTCCTCCTCCTCTTCTCCTCCTCCTCTTCTTCTCCTCCTCCTCCTCCTCCTGATCGCGGCTCCCTGCAGGGCGGCGAAATTGTCGCCACGTTCGTGGGCTCCCCAGAGGTCTAGCGGAATGGGGTGTCACGCAGATTTCTTTTAGATTTCGCCGCGACTTCGCGGATCTTTGGGGGGGAGGCTGTGAATTGCGCGTCGCTAGTTTCGTGTTCTTGAGAGGTCCAGCGGGGTGGGGTG